ACCCCACCCCACATACACACAGAGCAGCTGGGGGAAAAAATCTGTGTGTTAACTGGGTTAACTGGGTTTAACTAATAGGTTATGATAAGCCCCACTGCTGACAACTAATGTCAGTCCTCAGACGCGTCCGCACCCCACATACACACAGAGCAGCTGGGGGAAAAAATCTGTGTGTCTGTGAGTCTAACTGGGTTTAACTAATAGGTTATGATAAGCCCCACTGCTGACAACTAATGTCAGTCCTAGTTTGACTCAGACGCGTCCTTCAGCTCATTTCAATGTGCAATTTAATTTCTCAAAATCTCACCAAGAATAACCAGGCTATGACACCATTTTCTCTAGATACAACAGATGAAGCAGGTAAGCTCCACTATCTATAAGACTTGTCTTGTTCTAATATCATTCACCTGGAATAATGAAAAGGCACTTGCACTATAATATTATTTGGTTTAGTCTTATCAGTTTTGCAATCTGAAATCAAGAGGCTTAACTTCTTCGACAGACGCAAAAACAATTGTTTGGCAGTGATCTGAGTTTTAAAGTTTTCATTAGATTTTCAGTCTGTCCACATACAGAAAAAAAGTAGGGATGGAACTAATATTAATCACGGAAAATTGAGAAGCATAACTGAAAAAATATAAATGCATCTAACATAAGCAAGCCAATTATTAACATGTTATATAAATTATATGCATACCCCAAAATAGCAAAAGTTCCAGTAAGGGTAATAAATACTACACAAATGTTGTCCAACACAAACAATTGTGAAATAAACACAACTGCCAATTTGTCTTATATAACAGCAAACTAAAGAATTTTGAAAGAGAGCCACAAAACTACAACTAATATAATGACCAACATTCTGCTTTCATACCAGAGCACCCATGGGCGTCTCTACAGCCCCGCGTCATGCAGGAAGACTGGAGATTCCGACAGCTTTTTCCAAACACTGGCCGAGCAGAGAGTAAACGGGGGAAAAGAAACTCAAATGACAGAAGAAGAGCAGTATTCGCACAGAGATTGTATGAGTGTGAAAGCAAACCTCGTGTAGTGGGCAGCATGTCGGACAGCCCCTGCCACGCTGTGACCATCTCTGGATTCCTCTGGTCAGCAAAGTTCTTCCAAATTCGCAAAGCTCCATCATCTGCACAAAAAGTGGCATGGAGCAAGTCAGCACAGAAAGCGACAAACATGAGAACCGATAAAAGTGTGCTTCAACATGAATAGTAGATGAACTGACCAGAGGCAGTGAGGAGGAGAGAGCAGTCATGCCCATTAAGGTACTCCATAGCTGTAATGCGTGTGTATCGTGGGTTCCCATTGTAGAAATAATCCAACCTCTCTCCTTTCTCCCAGTCCCAAAAACTGTTCAACACATACACAGAACACAGTTGTAATAGTTCACAATGCCTCTCTATGCACATCTAGCTAGATTTATAGTTTGAGTTCAGGAAGAATATTAGCATAACTGACAAGTAGGTTTGCAAAAAGGTGGAAAACTTTCCAGGATTTTTAGGAATCTTCTAGGGATTTTTGGAAAGTTTCCGGAAATTTTCCACCCCTTTGCAACCCTACTGACAAGTATAACTAACATGCCAAATACATGTCACTAATGAACAGATAACATTACAAAATACAGGCATGTGATCAGCTAGAGACAAAAAAAGAAGTAAAACCTGACCACGCCACAAGTCTAGTGACATGTATTTGGCATGTTAGTTATACTTATCCCCAGCACTTATTATTAAAAAAATATATTTTAGCACATTAAAATATATATCTTATATTGTAATACATACTATTGTCCTTCAAAAAATAAAAAGCAGCATTTATTAATCATGATAACAATATAATACAATATATTATAATAAAGTACAATAATATATTATACAGTAAAGTATATAGAATTTTTATAAGTACCTGCCAAAATTTTGGAAACATTACAATTATTAATGATTTTAAAATAAATATCTTCTGCTCATCAAGGCTGAATTTATTTGATCAAAATAAAGTACAAAACCAAACAAAACAGCAATATTGTGAAATATTATAAAAAAAATAATTAAAAAAACGGTTTTCAATTTTAATATATTATAAAATGTAATGTTATTCCTGTGATGCAAAGCAGATTTTTCTTCATCATTAGGCTACTCCAGTTTTCAGTGTCACATGATCTTTTAGAAATTATTACAATTTATTTGACTCTCGAGAAACATTTCTGATTATTATCAATGTTGAAAACAATTTTGCTGCTTCATATTTTGAGCGGAAATGGTGATACACTTTATTTTTCAGGATTTTTTGATAAATATAAAGTTTAATGAACAGCATTTATTTGCATTTATCAAATATAGCCTATTAATTAAATTTGTTAATGCATTTATTAAATAGAAATCATTTTAAATGTCTTCACTCACTTTTTATCACTTTCATGCATGATGAATAAAATTATTAATTGCTCTCTCTTTTAAAAAAAAAAAATCTTATACAAATGTTTGAGTGTTATCATTGTTTCCACAAAAATATTAAGCAGCAAAACTGTTTTTAATATTGATAATAATGAGAAATGTTTCTTGAGCAGCAAATCAGCATATTAGAGTGATTTCTGAAGGATTATGCGACACTGAAACTTCTCCTTGTAAACAACAGCAGATTTATAAACGTTTCTAATGACGAATGTTGCGTTCCCAAATGCAAATGAGTCATTTAGCAGACGCTTTTATCCAAAGCGACTTACAAATGAGGACAATTCTGAAAGAAAGGGCCTGATCTTCCTAGTGTTGTATAAAGCAAATCTGCAGGACCGGGCCGTTTTAGCAATGTGGTCTGAGAAATGCAGCTTATCGTCAATCACAACTCCAAGGTTTCTAGCTGTTTTTGAAGGAGTTATGGTTGATGAGCCTAACTGGATGGTGAAATTTTGATAAAGTGATGGGTTTGTTGAAACCACAAGCAGTTCTGTCTTAGCCAGGTTGAGTTGAAGGTGATGGTCCGTCATCCAACAAGAAATGTCTGTTAGACATGCGAGCAGCCATCGTCGGATCGGAGATAAAAACATTTCAACTTTTCAGAATTCCGCAAGCGCACCGCGGGTCATGTGACAAGAACTTCCGCGTCTTCATGGAGAGGCAGGTCATGGTTTCTTAGCAACGGCAGACGCCTCCGGAGCGCAAGTGCCCAAACGCTTTGGAAAAAAGCAGAAAGCGGCGCGCCTAGCGTTTTCCACGCGTTTTTAGGCCTTAAAACGCGTGGAACGCGTGCCTAACCAGCGTCTGCCGTTGGTAAGCAACCATGACCTGCGCTCTCCATGAAGACGCGGACGCATCGAGGGGCCGTTCACATAACTGGCGCGCCTAGCGTTTTCCACGCGTTTTTAGGCGCGACATGTGAATGGCCCCTTAGCGGCTCAAACCAAGCGCAGCGCAGCTAGCACTAACCGTGAATCGAAACAAAAAACAGTACTCTAACAGCAGACATGTAGCGCGTCAGACTACAGCCTATTATATAATTACATCACAACAGTTGCAAATTTTATGACAGCTTTTATGAGTAACACGTTTCAGCGCTGATTCTACTCGCGTTTGGCGCTTTGAATCATTTGAACGCTTTTCAAAAAAATCCCAAAACTGAAAAAAAAAAAAAAAAAAACTCGGATCTACGCGAATCACATGGGTCGTCCCTCAGAGGTTGGAAAATAAGGAAATCCGAAAAATCACATCTCTGAAAATATATGTTACAATATAGGTTACACATATGAGTAATATGGCTGGCCAATATTGCTAACTTTTGTTAAAAAATAACCAGGGCATGATTTATATCTATATCTAATAATCTAATAATCAGGGCATGATTTATGAGTTATATTTAATCATTTTTATTTATTTGCAACAATGTACCAATACACGGTAACAAACGGCAATATTTACCTCTTATATTTTCAATTTTAAGCATGTACAACACAACAGAGATGGCCTGAACATTTCGCTTTAAAACTCCATGAGCATTTTTATAAATGAGGTTTAAAACGGACAGTATTAAAATATCTGTCTTGGCACACTCATATTCTCAAGTTGTAACAGAGAAGAGCATGCTTGCTTATGCATGCTTCTCTTTCAAAGAGTTTTGGTTGTAGATGAATGTGGTTGTGTATGTTATAGTCACTCACCAGATTGAGTCTTTATCAGCTACAGCGATGCAGGGGTTAAATGGATGAAACTTCACCACTGATGGAACACCTGGGTTTCTGTTAATGAAGATCTGATCATCTAACCGTGTCACTCCTAAAATCACAAGAGGGATAGACCAGTTAAGAACAGGTTTAATTAGTGCAATTTTGAGCTTTACTAATGACCACAGCAGTCTTTTGGTTTACAAGTTTTTGAGGAAAATGAATAAGGGTGACACTACTGAACTTCAGTGTGAGAATTGCAGATCAGAGAAAAAATATGCATGAAGGGAACTCAGAGGGAATTCAGGATTTGATTCAGTTCCTCCAGCTAGACTGAATGAGGGCAGCCCCACTCTCGGCTTCAGAGAGGAGGATGGCGGAGAGAGTGATGAAAGGAGAAAGACACACGAGAGTGAGCAGGATCCTCCGCTCTGACGCAATCAGTCCTGCGCACTTGTGTGTATGCGTGCCGGCACTGACGTAAGCATGTTAGCCATTCCGTTTGAGACTCCGCTGACTTCAGACAGGGAGCCAAGCACATTGCTTTCTTTTAAGCTTGGGGCTTTTACACACAAAAACTACAGCATATAACTGGTTCACCCAGTTTCACTTGTGAAATCCACATTATATTTATATTATTTTATCATTAAATTATTATTGTGAAATCCACATTATATAAAAAGGATCTAATGTACAGAGATTAAAAGCATTCCTGATAAAGGTTTACTGCAGACCAGGGGTGTCGCTAGACCCTTTTTGCTGGGTCACAAGCCCCAGTGAAATAACACTGTCCCCAAAAAAATATTACTAAAAATAAATATTGATTAAATGACAGCCCTTTAAACACACTAAGTTATATCGCAAGTTCTATTTTAGATGCTAAATCCACTGAAATATAAAAAATAAATAAATAAATAAATTGGGGACACTTTTTAGATTTTTTGGGGTGGTCTGTGCCCCAGTATTGATGAAAGGCTAGAAACATTCCTGCTGTAGACTTGAGTGAAATGATATTAGCATCTGCAACTTTTGCTAAATATATGTATATGTTATGAGCATATATGACTAGAACTGGCTAAATTAAGACAGCAATTTCATGCAGTTTGACAGTTGGAAACCAGTACCTCTTTGAGTGATGTGTTGGCTTTTTCTGCGTACTCGTGCGTTGCGTAAGAATCTCCACTCTCTCTCCTTACGAACCTGACTCTCCAAATCATGCTCCTCTGGAATCTGAAAGAGAAGAAAGAATTAAATTTTAAATGATATAGCACAGACAGAGTCAACCTGTTTAAAGGGGTCAAATGATGCTGCTAAAAAGAACATTATTTTGTGTATTTGGTGTAATGAAATGTATTTATGCGGTTTAAGGTTAAAAAAACATATTATTTGCCACATACTGTACATTATTGTTTCCCCTCTATGCCCCGCCTTTCTGAAATTTTTACAAAGCTCATCGGTCTAAAAAGCGAGGTGTGCTCTGATTGGCCAGCTATCCAGTGCATTGTGATTGGCTGAATACCTCAATCGTGTGAAGGATATGTTACACCCCTACCATACTGTGATGCCATATCCCAGAGCGACGAGACAAAAACATTAAAACCCATTATAAATGAGGCATTTGTTGCATCCAGTGTGGGGACATAATTACTGATTATAATGACTTATACTGTCTTTTTACGCGTTGCGTTGCGTATCGCGCTGTGTAAACATAAAACCATGTCTGCATTTGTGATCGGAGAAACGACAAACAACAAGCGCTACTCTACACTGCTCAAAACTCGCGTTTGAATCGTCAGTGGCAAATCCTTTAAATATGAAAACGTACTTACAGACTGTGAGTCAGAAGCGCCAGACTGTCCTTGCAAAGTTGGAATTGCCCCACTTTATAGAAACAGACACCGGCATTGTAGGCTATACTCTCCCAGTAAACAGTCCTCGTCCTCCATAAAACGCGCTGCACACATCTGAATATTTGGTTTGAACTGTTCTGGAACAGTGTTGTAAATACAACTTAACCACTGATTTCTAGTTGTGTCCTCTTTTGGAAGGCCAAACCAAGTAGTTTCGCTTTCACAACTACACACACTGCGTCTCCACAACATGGCAGCGGCGGCAGCAACAATACTACAGCGAGAATCAAAGTTACACCTTCTTTCTTTGCGTGAACACATTGCGTTATGCAAATCTTCCCACATCGTGACGTAGACATGCGGGGGCGTGTTAGAATGAGCCGTTTTTAAAACCATAAAAATTCAAATGCACACATGCACCTGGGTTTGACAGTTGTGAGAACAGAAACTCCAGAGGCTGTAATTGTGTAAAGTCAAATTACCTAGATAAAGTTCTTTAAACAATACAGATTGTTTCAAAGCAACTTCACAGTAATAAAGTGGAAAATAACAGAATCAAGGATATTATCAAATTTCAAGAAATACGATAATAAAGGCTAACAGTTTTTTCTCTCTAAAAAAGCATCTAAACTGTAGTCTCTCACTCTCTCCATACTTTCACATGTCTGTTAAATTTCTAAAAAGTGTGACTGATGTTCTTTCTTCCTCTCCCCAAACTCTGCCTCTCCATTTGTAAGAATGAGAAAACCGCAAAACAAGATAAATAAAGTATTCAATTCATGCACAAATAGAGCTGAAGCCCTGAGAGAGAGAATCACAGCCCCAGCTAATTAGCCCTGATCGATCCAGTCTTCCAGATAGGAGCTCCAGGGAAGAGCAGATCCCATGCTGCAAGCCTAAGTCCAAGCTGCTCAAGCAGGGTAAGAAATCACACCTGTCTCTCTTCCTGCAGCTCTGGGGCGCCATATCAATCTCTTAATGAGAATCAATAATTTGTTTTTCCATGGAAATGAAGCAGTGAGCTTGTACATGTGATTACTTGCTCAGCTGGGACTGTGAATATGTCAGAGTTAATGGTCTCCTCTAGAGCCGGTATTATTCCATCGCATGCAAACACTCACACATAGTCAAGTCACCAGCAATATGCACTTATCACACCCATCACTCGAATAGACTGGAATAGAGCTCTTCTCTCAAGATGGATTTTTCAGTTTGCACTCAAAGTGCTCTTATCTTTGTATTCCATTATGCACATTTCAAACTTATGTCCAGACTGCTCTCTGTTTAGTACACTTTCTGAATTACTGCACATATGAGTTGTATATGCTGTTCCTTTTTTATCAGGGAACCCCAAGAACACTTGCTTTGTTATGAACTGTTGTAAGTAGAGGTTGAACAATATGGATTTTTTTAATGACCGATCCATTATGATATTTAGAGAGCAGGGTGGATGATACCGAATATAATACAAATAGATAAATCTTTAATATAATATAATGACATACAAAACTGATTAAATTAAATAAAAAACATTTACACAATATTTAATATATATATATAATACATAGACAAAGTATTATTTTGTAATTGACTCAAGAGGGAACTATAATAATTATTCTGTAATTACATAATAACCATCAAATTTATTATTAGAAATTCCATTTTTTTAAATGTGGACTCATCTGAGTACAGCACACATTTTCACTGTCTTTTTGACTATCTGAGATGAGCTCTGGCCCAGAGAACCCTGGTGGCATCACTGCATAGAATTGATGTATAGCTTTCTCCTAAAGTAACAGTGTTACAAGTTGCATTTCTTGATGCAGCAGCAGACTGTGTTAAGTAGGGTTGGGTACCGTTCACATTTTAACCGGTATGGTACCAGTATCGGTACCTGAATTTCGGTACTTTACTCTCTGTGTAATTACAAAAAACATTATGTTTGATCAAGGTTGGAGCTAAACTCTGGAAGTAGATATCGACAAAACTTTTTCAATTGTCATAATGTTCATTGTCAATATTATCTTCTTTAAACATTTTATGTGTTTCAAATAACTTGTCGCTATCTGCGCTGCATTCAAGCAGAGAGCAAGATTTTGCGTGTTCGGCGCGCATGCTGCTGAGTGAGACTATGTTATGCAGATGCAAAATGTGAAACTGTAATCTTATTTGCAGTCTTAACTTTTTATAAATATTTGTACAATATATATTCAGCATATTTAACTTAACCCGTTTAGTATCTTTATTATTTAATGTATAACGATTTATTAAAACACGTTTATGAGAGTCATTAAAACAAGTTTATGACTGCCACAATTTAATCTTGATCAACAACATCAACGAATTGGAGCGGCATCAGCCTGTTATTAGATCATTTTAAAACGTCAAATAGCCTTCAATTTGCAGGTTATAACTGCATCTATTTTATTTATTAATTATTTTATTTATTTTAATGCGGATCCCACACTCTAGCGTTAACCTAATATAAATGTGCTCTAGTCTATTATTAATATTCAAATGTTTGTGCGGAAAAGAATGAATGCTCAAGCATGACAGGGAGGAGCCTGCGCGATCACTTGCATTTTTTTCTTGATAATGAAACATCTTAAAATTGGGGTGCCTTACATAGGCTACATGAGAAATATATCTAAAGAAAGCTTGTCTACTTTCAAACGAACCAATTCAAAATGAAATCAAATAGACTAGGCCTACTCCCTGATTATGTAATCTGTGAATGCATTTCTCTCTAAAGGCGCGTCCAGTGGAGATTTCATGAATTTCATCTTTGCAGCCGACAAGGACTCAGAAAACATTATTTTATTAATAAATAATTAAAATGTCTCCTTTATTCATAATCATTAGGCTACTTTTGCCTGTGCTTTGTGGCAAACTTTATGCGTGTACTTGAGCGCGGAATTATGGAGTATTATGTTAATTTAATATAAACATGCGATTAGTAATGGCTTAAATGAACGACTACTAACTGGAAAAATCTTTAGTGGGGGGCAGCCCTATTAAAATACCCTCTATCTCTGTTAAAGTTTTTAAAGCATTTTATACGCATTTCCTAGTCGTATAAATTCGTATATATTTGTTCAAAAGGCCTATCATATATTTAGAATATTTTATTTAACCTGTTTTGCATCTCAGTTATTTAATGCATAAGCAAGTCATTAACATTTTTTTTCAGCGGCATCCGTTTAATCTTGATCAACAATATGATCAACGAATTGGAGCGGCGTTGGTCAGTTAAATCATTTTAAAACGTCAAATAGCCTTCAAATTATAGGTTATAACTGCATCTGTCTCGGATGTAGACTGGTGAGGATTTATTTTAATGTGGATTACAAACTCTAGCATTAACCTATAGGCTATAAATGTGCTATATTTTTGGCCCGTGTTCAAATGTTTGTGCGGAATATTAATGTGCATGCATTAAAAAGGGAGGCGCCCGCGCGATCACTTGCATTTTTTTTCCTAATAATGAAACAACTTAAAATCAATTCGAAACTGATTTTATTTATGTAAATTCATAATAACAACAAAACGTTGTGCTTTTGTAAAACAAAGAAAACAAACAGGATGCGCTTCTGCAATCTCTCTCTCTCTGTGAACTGGAGCGTGTCTCCAAAAAGAACCAAAACTCAGAATGTGTCTCTCACATAGAGAAATATATCTATATAAATGTTGAAATGTCTACTTTTAAACTAACCAATTAAAAACAAAATTAAACACTCCCTGATTATGTATGAAGGTTGCATTTCTCTCTAAAGGCGCGTCCAGTAGGCTATTGAGATGAGAGTCAGAACCGTGAATTTCATCTTGCAGCCGAGAAGAAAACATTAGTTTATTAATAAATAATTAAAATGTCTCCTTTTTCTATACATTAATAATCATTAGGCTACTTTTGCCTGTGCTTTGTGGCAAACTTTATACGTGTGCTTGAGCGCAGAATATTGAAGCTCATTATGGATTAGTAGGCCTATTGATTTAATATAAATGCGCGATTAGTTGAATAGCCTAATGGCTTAGACGAACGACTAGAGTCAACTAGATAAATCTTTAGTGGGGGGCAGCCCTATTAAATACCCACTAGACGTCTCTGTTAAAGTTTTAAAGCATTTTTATAGGCGTTTTCATAGTCGGATAAATTCCGCTTTCAGAACGGTCACGTCCGTAACAGAGAGATGTCACGTGCGTAACATTGACTTTTCCTGTGAAACACAAAAACGAAAATTTAAACAAAATTGATATTTTATGCTTTGTAAATACCCAACCCTTCTCCATTCGGTAGATATTGTTGCTTCTGGTTTGTGCACTGTAAATCGCAGAAACTCTACAAAATAGCCTATGTTGTCTCCCAGAAACTCCATGTCTTTA